CGAGTTACAAATTATAATAGCATATTTACGTATTAAAATAAAGTATAAATCATATATACGTATACATATATATACATATGTATATATCATTAAAAAGGTATCGACGATGCGGTCATTATAAGACTAATATTGAGTTCTTTCGATATTAGTTTAGTGCAAATATCGTTAAATCTATTTAAAATAGTATTATAAAGGGGTGTTTAGTTGTTTATATAACTATAAGGTCATTAAGTAGTTATGGAGGGTAGTTTTTGTAAATTCAATTACTATAAATAAGAGGCTTGGACTCTCATATTTCTTGCACCATTCTCTTGATTCAAGAGTCTTTCTCTACTTATCCCCCGAGCATTTCGTTCCCTCGTGATTTGACTTCTCTTTCTGTTGTTTTAGTATAGTAAGGTGAGCGCTGAAGCGCTGCATGAATCTTTCTTAGAAAGATTTAGCGATGAAGTTCTGCCCTTGCAGAGCCCGACTCCTAGCTAAAATCCCCTTGTAAGTAAGTTATGCTTACCCTATTTTAAATAAACTTTATATTTAAAATTAGTATTGTTATTATAAATTTATAATAAATATTTGAGCTATTATTATGACTTATATAAGTGTCGCTATAATATCTTTTTAAGTACTCGCGGTACGGGGAATCTGGTTTAAAGGGCCGCATAGGGTTGTTGGATTTCACAAGTGCTATACGCCAAAATGGTCCTGTCCTCCGGTGTTTTATGTCTGGTCTCTGTCTGTACCGAGTGGTTAGAAAGTATTGTTTAAACACTTATATAATAATAATAAGACTAATAATTAGTCACGGTAATATTAGACTAAAATCTAGTGGTGATAATACTAGGTTTTGTCGAAGGAAATTATTTTAAAGTAAACGAAGCGTTGTCCGAGTACCGAGTCACCACCTTCTCAGGTGAGTGCATAGTTACTTTCATCTTACACATAGATATAAAGTATTTAATATATATTACGTGTTGTGAGTGCATAGTTACTTTCATCTTACACATAAATATGAAGTATTTAATATATTTTACGTGTTGTGAGTGCATAGTTACTTTCAGCTTACACATAGATATGAAGTATTTTATATAAATTACGTGTTGTGTGTGCATATTATCTGTATACTTTCTATCTATGCTGGATGAACAATTTTATACATGTTTTAAATTATTTAAACTGTATATGTATTTTATATTTACAAAATGTGTTGGGTAAAACATGGGTAGATGTAATAGTTGTTGTGTGACAAAATAAAATAATGAGAGACCTCGTTATAGATGTTATTGATGATCCAGTCATCTAGTGGAGTATAGATGACGACCACAGACTATTCTAGACAGTCCAGTGGAACACTAGCAAGCTCCTAACCTGTAGGTGTTTATTTGAACTGTGTGTTTATTTGAACTATGTGCTCACTAGATGTACTCCATCCCCCACATGGTTGCCTTAAGGACATTTATTGCTGAGGAATCCCCTTAGCAGTAGTGTCCATCCCGATGATAGTCCTTAGACTAGGTCCCTTGTGTTAGATGTTTTAGGGACATAAAGTGACGATAATGGAAACGGGTAATCGGGTCTGTTTGGTTTGATAAAGTTAATAAACTTATTTATTGTGGGTTGAAAACCCTATGTGCTCACCAGGCTCCCAAGCCTGACCCATTCAGTTTCTTGTATTACAGGTAGTGGCGCATGAGCATAGGTGTGATGTCTTGGGATGAGAGATTAATGGATTTTAGGTCTGTAAATACGGAATAATGTAGTAAGACCTATATTATATTGTTTATGCTTATGTTCTGTATCGAACATGACATCCCGAGTCTTTTTAATGAAATACATTTTCTACGGAAATGTTTTTGATAAATCTTTATCATATATTGTTTTGGGATAAATTCCGCGACTCTTTTATTAAAAGATTACTCTGATTTTGAAATAAAGTATAAACAAAATCGGTCTTTTCTGGCCGTGAAAAATGGGGATGTCATATGACCGAACCATAAATTAAGGCACACTACCCATGGACAATGCATACCATCAATGCTTCCTAAAATTGTAGGAAACATATGATTGTTTTTATGTGGTGTATACAATCGGTGGACGTTATTAATGGTAGGTTCTAGTAAACATCAATCGCCATAAACCCAATACCACAACTTTAGCCAACTTGTAAACAATATCCCGATGGTTCGATCATACATCGTCAAATATTCATCCAAGATTCTGTTCTTATGTCGTATTATAACCGACGAATTGCGACTTTGCATTTTTATATCAGAGAAATTCCATTTCTACCTCCCACATCCAATTTCAATTGAATATATGGAAATCGGCATGTCAAGTCACCAACAATAGATAGGAATGATTATTTTCTCAGCTGAAACTGCCGTCTAAACCTTTAAATGTATATGGAATTATCAGCAAAGTAGTCTTTTATGAGACGATTGTGTCTCACTTCACAAAATCTCTTTAAACGACATTTCTAGTTCTAAAACGTGAACTTCGAACTTCTTGTTTTCTATAATATGTCATTGTTTTTTCGACAACTTTTCCCATAAACATTGAATCCCTTACTGCCACGTATTGTACGAAGTTGAAGATGATAATGACATTGTGAAATTGCTAAAATGCGTATAGAAGTGATTAGTATTTGTGTTGTGGTGAACTAAAATGAATAAATAAAACTAGTGTTTATAGAGTTTGAGGAAAAAAAAGCCCAACAGTTGGATTCAAAAAGAAAGAATGTTATTGTTTACGGTCTCGTCGCAACACTTACAATGTGACTTGGTGCATGATAGTGTGGTGTTACCACAGATTTGCGGTGTCAGATGGCATTAATCGGACCATGCTGTGGAAATACCCATTTAGCGAAAGTCTAATATTCACATTCAATTTTAATACTTTTGTGGTTATGATGACTTAGCTAACGATCTAGAATTCTAGAATCTAATGTCATCATCATTGTATCATGCACTACACTATAAATTTGATTGCTTAACAAGGCTACTCTGTTCGAATTTTTTAGTGGGCTTTTGAATGATTTTATGGGTATATTTTCTAATTTGTAGGACGCCAAATGGCCCTAATCAATGAATTATATCCCATCAAAAACTTAAATTTGACGATTAATAATTTGTATAGCTTAAATAAATCATTTTTTTACAAATAGCATAAAACCTTCAAACTTTATAATCAAATTTTGACACATTTTTCTCTCCTTATTTATTATAATTTAATGGCCATATAAAATGGAGTGTAGTGTTGTTAAATGGTTTGTGGTAGAGTAATAATATGGATGTACAGTAAAAGCAATAATAAGAATGTAGAAAGGGGTTTATGTCCACTTGTTTATGTTACCCACTCAACCTCTAACTTTAAAAGTCAATGATCGCTAAAGAACTTCTACCCATTGTAACAACTATGTTGAAATACCATTTAAACCCATAGTACTTGATAGTCCACTTATGGATTCTAACCCCATCCACCCACCCACCCATCCAACTCTAAGCACAACCGGTTTAAATTAGGAGACTTAAGTTTGAGCTCCTAATGTTATTGTTTACATGATATTCATGTTAGTTTTCTTTACAATTTTTTTTATAGGAGTTAGATCTATGTTATAAATCATAATTTGGATAATTTATAACATCATCTACATACATAGTGTTTGATAAATGAAAAAAATATTGTTTAATATGACTCATATAAGATAAATGTTAACCGTTGAATATTTTGATCAGCAAATGGTAAAATCAATATTACATAAAATGATCATAATTTGCAAAAAATATACGATGCAATGTGATACTTTTTAACGCCAAAACTAGTTTTTGCGACGAAAGCTTGTTGGTTGAAATAAAAAATAAAAAATAAAAAATAAACAACAGTTTTAATTTTCAAATTTTGATACATCCAAATATTATTAGTCTTTTACGTTCACCTCCAACTCCATCACAACACGATGGTTTCCACATAAACATATAAGATGTTATGGTTTATTTTAAATATTGAAACTATCTTTTTTTGGTATTAATACAAATCCCAAGTCTTAAGTGGCAGTGTATTTGAGAATCAAAATGAATATTAACCACTGGTAACAACTTCATCAACTCAACCCGTTGTTTTTATAAATAATTATATTTATAAAATATATTAATTTATTAAAATATTACATTTATTTTCATTTTATATCGGTAGGAAAATAAATAAAAAAATATCAATAAGATGATATATAATTTCTACCCAATCATTCTATAAATATTCGTTAAATAATTATTAAATAAATTTCTAATTTTCAATTTCATCTCTCTCTCTCTCTCTCTCTCTCTCTCTATATATATATATATATATATATATATATATATATATATATATATATATATATATATATATATATATATATATATCTCTAATTAGCTATCCAATATCTAATTAAAAAACATTGTATGTGTTTAGATAAACGAAATTAAAAAGAGAAAAAAGTTGTTTATTAATTACTGATACATAGTTATCATCCATTAAATAAATATGAGATATACAAGATTTAATTTATAATTTTATATAGTATATTTATTAATAAAACGTGGAAACGCCGTGCCGTCACATTCACTCCTCTATCGTCGCTGAATCTAAGGACATTCATATATTTTAGTGCCACTAATACACATCACCTCGGTTGAACACATATTTATAAATTTCATTATTTTTGGGAAAAAATATTATGTAGATTTAAATTATGAAAAATAAAGAAAGAAAGTAATATATATGAACATAAAACTTAGACACGTAGAGACATGCAAATCATAATTAAAATTTGCAGAAAACTCCACTACGCTCTTGTAAGTTTTAACCATTGAGGTCTTCGTAATACAAAGTGATTGATCAAATAAAATAAAATCAGAAAGTATGTATTTATGAATAAATTCCGTTATATATTTCTACTTCTTTTTTGGTTTTTGAATAAACAACATATACCACAATTACATATATCAAGTATGGTCAACGAGACCTCAGTGGTGTAATGGGTTCGGACCTGTCGGGACAAGCCGCATCTCAACTCCATATCTCGGGTCAATCTCTGGCACTGCCGCCGGATGCTGGTGGTGCTGGTGGTGATCCCCATGAAGAAACGGTGTGAAGTCGAAGTTTGTGGTTGGTGATAGCACTTTCCTGTTGATCAATACACGGCGTGTCAATAGTGATCTGTAATGTTGATCCTGTTGTTTTTCCTTTACGATATGATTGGCTTTTATGGGTGGACGTTGTTGCCGGAAAATAATGGTGGTGGTTGTAGTTGTGTACCATAAGAGGAGGATGGTGAGAGAGATTACAATGATGAGAGTTGTGGGTGATCGTGAAATTCCGGCTACCATAGCGGGTGGCGGTTGTGGTGGAGGAAGAGGGAGGAGGGTGGAGGAGAGGGCATGGAAAGGTGAAGAGGAGTATATAGGGAGAAAGAACGTAGGGTCTTTGTTAAGTTTTGATTGAATCTCAAATGAGAGAATATTAATATTTGGTGTGATTGTTGAAGGAGGGAGGGTAATAAGGTCCAAATAATGCGGAGAGGGAGCAAGAGGTGGTGCCGACCATTCTTCCAACGAGACCTTCCTTTGCGATCAAGCAAGTGCTACTCAACGTTTTCATAAACCCCATTTTCTAAAGCCTTTGACTTTTTCTTCCATTTATTTCTAATTGACGTATATGGTCCCTCATGTTTTCGAAGAATGCATTTATAGTCGGTCAATTCTTCTTAACCGAGGATATGTCCCTTTAACACAATAAATTCTACATGAACGATCCTTGATTGATAACTATTAAAACTACTAATGGTTGTCTAGTAGTATTTCTATTTCAAATTATATAACGTGTAATTATATACCAATACGAGATCGGGAAATTTAAATTTCTTGACTGAAAAGGTAATGAAAGTTCATTACGAAAAGGGAAGTGTTTTTTTTTTTTTTTTTTTTTTTTTTTTTTTTGGTACAGAAAGAATGATGCTTGATTGAATCAAACAAAACTTAAATGTAAATGTAACATCGGAGAATATTACATGGGCGGATCCAATGTAGATCTCGATATTACATGGGCGGATCCAATGTAGATCTCGAGGTAGCCCGGGATACCCTTCAAAATTTTTTTCGGTAGTGTAATTCTTTTTAGCAAAATTTCGTTTTACATAGTGTATATATATGTTTCCCTTCACTTATAAACCCAAACAAACATGTGGTCTGCTGGATAAGGTGCTAGCATATTTAAGTAGAGATATAAGGATCAAATCTCCCTCAAATTTTCTTTGTTTACCTTTTATTTTTATTTTCCCAGCTAATCTATCCTACATCGTCAAACACATCTAAATTTAGTCAATTTCGTCTATTATATTAACTTGTTATCTTGATTCTTCATTTGATATCTACTTTTATTCCCACATCGCTTCAAGTATCAAAAGATACTTCGACTTCATGTTTATATAATATGACTTTAGGTTATTTAAGGATTCGATTAAGGTTTAGGTTTAAAACTGAAACCGAAGTACCTCGAAAAAAAAATTAGGCCATCCGAAATTTTTTTGGGATACCCCTTTACTTTGAACCTGGCTCCGCCACTGGAATATTATATATTTGATTTTGTTGTAAATAGGATTAAGTAAGGAAAATGTATCAAATCAATTTAAGTGAAAGATGTGCAAGTAATTGAAGTGCGTGACATGCACTTGTTTGCGTCAACTTTATATGATATTCTAGGTGATTTGTAAGTCGATCAAATAAGTCACATAACAAATGAAAGTGGGAAGGAGATATAAGTGACATGGTCAACCCTCAACAAACGGCAAACTATTAGAATACATGTCTTTTAATACAAACAAATTAGTATATAATATATATATATATATATATATATATATATATATATAATATATATATATATATATATATATATATATATATATATATAATATATATATATTATATATATATATATATATAGGGTTAGGTTCATGTAAGACTGTGAGATGCTTTTTTATTTATTTATTTATTTATTTATTTTTTAGTTAATTCAAATTCCGAAATAATATTTAAATTTTCTTTTAGATTTTTTCATTTAGTTAATTCACGTATTTTTCAAAAAAAAAAAAACCGATTTTTTTTTAGTTAATTCAAGTTCTGAAAATAATATTTAAAAAAAGAATTTTTGGATTTTTTCATTTATTTTGCATTTTAAATTTATTTTGAGATTTAGTCTCACGGTTTCACAAAATTAGAATGGTCTCAAATGAATATATATATATATATATATATATATATATATATATATATATATATATATATATATATATATATATATATATATATAACGAAGATCACCAATATATTCACGGAGAGAGAACTTTTTTGTCCTAAATATGGTACATCAAAGTAGGTCCAGATGTCCCGTTACATGAGCATGCTCAAGATGGAGATCCGTGAGTTTGTATCGACCCAACTATATAGTTCTCTTTCCAAGCTGCATTCTTTCGCTTGGAGGAGAGAGATTTAGATTAAGGCCCAAACTAAGGATAAGAGGTAGGCCTCAGTTTAGACACAGTCCGTAGCAAAGTGGTTTAAGTCCGATGATTCAGGATCTGGAGGTCATAGGAGTCGGACTTGTGGAAAGTGTTGGAAGACCGACGAGTGAGTGTGTCGATTAGCAACAACATGCCAGAATTACGGCAAGGATGGCATTTTGCATGAAAATGTCGCTAGCAGGCTCTGCTGCCGAGCACCAGGATTTGTTATCACTACGATCAAGTTGGTCATGTAAAGTCCAGTTGCCCATTGCTAGCTGCAAAGCTAGTGTAGGCAACGGCTCCGACCACTCTTCAGATTACAGATGGGCGAAAGGCGAGGGTTGAGACCTCGAGGGCTAGGTGTTGTGCATTTCATCTCATAGCAAAGGAAGCCAAGGCGGCGCCTGATGTTGTTACCGGCATATTATAATAATAATAATAATAATAATAATAATAATAATAATAATAATAATAAATAATAATAATAATAATAATAATAATAATAATTAGTCACGGTAATATTAGACTAAAATCTAGTGGTGATAATACTAGGTTTCATCGAAGGAAATTATTTTAAAGTAAACGAAGCGCTGTCCGAGTACCGAGTCACCACCTTCTCAGGTAAGTGCATAGTTACTTTCAGCTTACACATAGATATGGAGTATTTTATATAAATTACCTGCTATATGTGCATATTATCTGAATACTTGCTATCTATGTTGGATGAACGTTTTATACATGTTTTCAATGATTTAAACTGTATATGTATTTTATATCTATAAATTGTGTTGGGTAAAACATGGGTAGATGTAATAGTTGCTGTGTGACAAAATAAAATAATGAGATGCCTCGTTATAGATGTTAATGATGATCCAGTCATCTAGCAGAGTATAGATGACGACCAAGGACTATTCTAGATAGTCCAGTGGAACACTAGCAGAGTCGCAACCTGTAGGTGTTTATTCGAACTGTGTGTTTATTTGAACTGTGTTCTCACCAGATGTACTCCATCACCCACATGGTTGCCTTAAGGACATTTATAGCTGAGGAATCCCCTTAGCAGTAGTGTCTATCCCAATGATCGTCCTTAGACTAGGTCCCTTGTGTTAGATGTCTTAGGGACGTAAAGTGAGGATAACCGGGATGGGTAATCGGGTTTATTTGGTTTGATAAAGTTAATAAACTTATTTATTTTGGGTTGAAAACCCTATGTGCTCACCAGGCTCCCAAGCCTGACCCACTCAGTTTTCTTGTATTAAAGGTAGTGGCGCATAAGCATAGATGTGATGTTTTGGATGAGGGATTACGGATATAGGCCTGTAGATATGAAATAATGTAGTAAGGCCTATGTTGTATAGTTTATACTTATGTACTGTATCGAAAATGCCATCCCGAGTCTTTTTAATGAAATACATTTCTAAGGAAATTCTTTTGATAAATCTTCATCATAATATTGTTTTGGGACAAATTACGCAACTCTTTTATTAAAAGATTACTCTGATTTTGAAATAAAGTATAAACAAAACCGGTCTTTTCTGGCCGTGATTTTGGGCATGTCACAGTTGGTATCAGAGCATTAGTTTAAGCAAACTAGGAATTTGTAGGATTTCTAGACTTAAACTTAGAATGTTAAGCGATGATTGTGAGGTGTGAGCACTAGCTTATTTTAGGAATTATGCCTAAAATGCTTTTATGTGCTAAATGCTTTGTGCCTGACATGCTATTATTTGTTCGGATCTATGGTATGTTGCCGACCGGAGCTGGAAACGTTATGTGTTTATAATTCTAAGCGTTTAACTACGATATTAGAACTAGCATGTAAACGTTTCGGAGTGATAAGGATGATTTAAACGTCAATCCTAAATAAAGATCTAGATTCACCTTATTCGGTGTATAGATCAAGATGGCAAGGACCCGTAGCGGAAACGTGAATGCAAATGGGAACCGAGATCAACTCCCAGTGATACAGCAAATACCAGTCGTAGTAGAAGTTGCACCCGAGCCAATCACGATGGACGGAGTGCAAGCATTGATCTAGATGATGTTGGATCGTCAAATGGAGGAAACAAGGTGTTTACTTCAACAAGCTCGAGAGGAAATTACGATGCCTATTAAACAGCCCGAGCTGAATGACAGGCAGTCTGAGGAAGGGAACGACAGCAGGACCGTTGGTCAAGCTGATCCCTCGGTGATTAGGAGGAAAAATCATGATGAAGGAGTCGAGAGGAATGGATGCAAGTACAAAGATTTTCTAACTTGCAAGCCATCGACTTTCACTGGGAACGAAGATCCAATCGGGGTCATGGATTGGATCTTAGAGATGGAATTGGCCTTCATGACATGTGGTTGCAAAGGCAAGCTACAAACCACGTTTGTAGTACGTCAATTCATAAGAGGCGCTGTTCGCTGGTGGAATACCCTAGGGAAGACTTTGAGCCCCAATGAGCACCTGCAACTAGCATGGGCAGAGTTCTGGTGCAATTTAAAAGAAAGTACTGCTCAGCTCAAAACTTACTCGAGCTAGAGAACCAGTTCCTGACGTTGAAGAAAGGAAGCATGTCAATTGATGAATACACCAACAACTTCACAGAGAAGATGGAGTTCGCCTTGCGCCTTGTTCCGGATGAGCTGACGAAAATCGACAAGTACGCAAAGGGACTTCCATGGGAGTACGCGGTGCCAGTGCATCAGGCACCTACTCTGGAGGCAGCTATCTGGGCTACCAAGTCTATGGAAGATATGATTAAGGGAAGAGCTACCAACAAGATTGAGGTTGGCGAAAAGAAGAAGTTTGACGGGTCTACGAGGCCCAATAAGAAGATCAAG